GAGAGTCCCAGACGTGGCATCACCAACGCTTGTGGGCCGGACTGTTCTTACCTGCCTGCTGTCGATGTCCCGGCGCTGATAACGTCCACCTTCTTGGCTCCTGGGTGGGACGAGGCGGCCACCGACTCGTTGATGAGCGCTGCCCCGGCCGGGCTCCGCACTGCTCACTCACTCTTGAGTTTACCTGTATGTAGCTCTACGCGCTCGCCCTCTCCTCCACCACCACCACCACTACCACCACCAGCCTCTCTGTGGGACCGCCATGCAGCAGGTAGTCGAGTTCCCGATGGGGGCCCCCTCATCAAGTGTATAGTAAACCTTGGTTCTAGTTCTAGACGCTCTATCAAGACTCGTGATGCGGGACTTTCGATTTAGTGGATGGAGAGAGCGGTGAATGAGGTGTTTGTTCAGTTTTCCTTTCCTGGTCTTCGGCTGCTCGTTAAATCATTCCCCGCGACTGCTTGACGTTTTGAGTTCGACCTGCTACCTGTGTTTGACTGTAGTTTATGGCGTCGATGCGAAGCTTTAGCCTCAGTTGTACACCGCCGAGTTGTTTCCCGCTCCTTGAATTCATTAATTGTGTTATTTGTATCATGTGTTAATTTTTCATAGAGTTGTTAAGGTATTATTGTCTGTGTAAACGTTACCTTTAGAATGTAGAAACGTACCTTTTTGAAATTCAGTAACGCAGTGAGAACTTAGTAAACTCCTTTGCAGTTATTGGAAGAATAATTATGTTAGTTTTTTTCTAATTTTTCCTGATTAGTTTTGTTGTCCTTGTTGGTGCTTGATTTCTTTTGTTGTTGTTATTGGGGGGTTGGGGGGGGGGGTTCATTGTTCTACCTTACCTTGAAAGACTATTCTGCGAAAAGAGAGACGTTGAAGCATGAAGTAACAGTAACAGAACTGGGGTGTGTCGACAAAAATCTCATGCTCCGTCACAGCACTGAAACGAAATAGCCTACGTCTTTTCAGATTCTCCTTGAGATTTTAAAAATATTTTAATTTTGCTTTCATTTCATTGCTCATAATTGCACCCTGAAGATGCTAGGCCTGCGCTCAGAAGACGCGAGGGCAACAGTGAATTTCTTTTTGCTGTCTGAAGTGATCCCTGTTTTGCTTGAGGCCATGAAAGACAACGCGATCCATTGTTTTCCTTCTGTTATTTTGTTTCATTTAAAAGCCTATATATATATATAAAGATATTACAAGATGACTTTCTTCATGAAGATTTCCGAGTTCTCCGCGTGGTAATTTGTGCTTCGCTAAATCCCTGCTCCATTCCATGAATGCTTTCCTCAAAAGTGGTCGATTTACGTGCGTGTTAGGAATTAGGTCGCTGGCGGCTGTACTTCACATGTGGAGAGCTATTAATAATTCTTTTGCCAGTCGACTTCTTAAAATAGGTTCAAATATTATATGCATTCCTCTTAGTGATTAATGTTTTTCAGGCATTCTCAGAAAAATCCTCTTATATTCAACGCCAAGCTGGTTGCCAGAAGTAATTTAAAAAAACAGCCTGGTTTTTTAATCGGGTCTAAATTTATCTGGCGTTGGCTGTGGTGGCTGCTCCCGTTGAGTGACATTTGGTGGGAACCCAAACGTTCTATAAATATACCCACATTCCCGGAATTCTAATCAAACGTCTCCCATTATTTCATGCGTGCGGTGATAGCTTCAGGTGTTTTTAGTAACGCCGATACGCCGGATCTTTTCCCGCTCCTCGCCTGCCCGCCGCCTCCGTCTCTGGCACCTGACGGTGTATGGTGCTGTTTATTGAGGGGCCCCCGTGTCTTTTCGGTGTCGATGGGAACGTGAAAAACGCATACTTTTTTTTTAAAAATCAGGTTTCTGCTTAGGTGCTGTTTTTTTCCCTTTTTTTCTGGGGTTTTTTTTTTGGGGGGGGGTCTGTTGTTGTTTGGTTTTTGTCTTCTTTTTTGCCCGTCCCGTCCCACGCTGGGAATATTTTTAAAAAATCAGTCTCCGTCAGCTGAGAACAAAATAGAGATCTGTCTATCGCTACTCTTGGCTTTGAAACTAATAGGAAATAGATGGAAGTGTCAGAGGAAACAGGGCAGACTGTGTCGGGCGCGTCTCGACTTGGGGGAGTTGCGTCTCTCTCTCTCTCTCTCTCTCTCTCTCTCTCTCTCTCTCTCTCTCTCTCTCTCTCTCTCTCTCTCTCTCTCTCTCTCTCTCTCTCTCACACACACACACACACGCACACACACTCTCTCTCTCTCTCTCTCTCTCTCTCTCTCTCTCTCTCTCTCTCTCTCTCCTCCCCCCCCCCCCCCTCTCTTTGTATATATTACATATATTTATCTATATTCATTTGTAGTGCAAAGTTGTGGCAGTGTCTTGGCCCGTGTGTTTTGGGGGGTTGGTCGAGGAGCACTTAAACGGTTGGTTGAATGTTGCAGAAGAATGCATGGTTCACATTACGGTTGATGCATTTAAGTTTGGAAAAAGGACGGATTAAAAAAAGAATTTCAGAAAAAAAGGATAATTTATGAAGCTGATGCAGTGTGCGGTGTCTGTGCGCTCTTAGTCGTGTGAGTTGCACGAGGTGTGTGCTTTTAGGTTAGAGCTATATCATGTCTGCTGGTGACCCACGTAGATGACACAGACAGAATTGGTCGCTTTTAAGCACAAGGGGGCTATCCCGAAAAATGCTGTTTTGAGAAATCGGAGGTAAAATTTTTGCCCCTTGTTCTGTTTCGTTAAAAGACAGGGGAAGTTTTCTCTATATCCAAACAAATATATATATACACACCAAAGAAACCAAACTTCTCCATAGGAGGGCAATGCCCCCTTTTTGTGTAGGTCGAGAGTTTTATGGAAACCCCCGAAATCTGGGTTGGCCCGCTTGTCCTTAAAAGCGACCAATTAATGGTCGTTTTATTAAACTGTACATAAGGTCTTTCTTATTTAAAGCATCAGCACCTAAAGGTTGACAAGGGGCATACAGATTCTAAATGAGACAACAACAGCAACATAGTGGAGTTTCACTAAAGCGTTTATTACATGCATTATATAATGTATAAATAATTTTTAGAAAACAATACTGTCCGGGAAAGTGAAACGGCCGTTGACCAAGTTTCAATTATATGCAGCTGAATTCTTTATCCGCCCCCACCTCAGAACCCCCTTTAAAAAAAAAAATGGAAACGTCGACTGGCACCAAGGCTTCTTTTGTATAGTATACTTTTATCTTGGCTTGTCGCAACAAATTTCAATAGTACTAGATCCGATTTGAAGTGATGGTATTGCTTTTGGTTTCTTTCAAGTATTCCGGATTGCGTGTTTGTATGAGTAAAGGGGAAAGGGGGGGGGGG